GTAATACTGGAGTGTATCATAATACAGCATTGGGTTCAAAGAGAACCAGTCATAAATCAGGCCATTTTAGGAATTTGAACACAATGGGGTGTCTTTAGAAACAATTCGCAGTGCCATTCACCCTACAAAATTGCATGTACATTTGTTTCCTTCGAATGGAGCAGAAAACGAATGTTATTATTATCAGCATGTTTTCTTTCCAGGTCAAATGTAATATCAGCTAAATGCAGCATTATGGCCACTAGATGGAGCTAAGGATCATAGGAAAGAAGTATTATGGCCACTAGATGGACCTGAAGAGCATAGGAAAGAAGTATTATGGCCACTAGATGGACCTGAGGGACATAGGAAAGAAGTATTATGGCCACTAGATGGCGCTGAGGATCATAGGAAAGAAGTATTACGGCCACTAGATGGAGCTGTGTAAAGCATAGTGAATAAATACTTCTTTCCTACACTCTTCAGCGCCATCTAGTGGCCATAATACTTATTCCCTATGCTCCTCAGCTCCATCTAGTGGCCATAATACTTCTTTCCTATGATCCTCAGCGCCATCTAGTGGCCATAATACTTCTTTCCTATGATCCTCAGCGCCATCTAGTGGCCATAATACAATATTCGCCTGATACTACATTTGACTCGGGAATAATAATATGCTAATAACATTCATTTTTGCCTCTGCTTGCACAGAACAAGTGTACATGCAATATAAAAATGGTGAATAGTTTATAATTACACCCCTAGGTATCAAGTGATTATATTTGGCTTACATCTAAGAGACATATTTGCCCCTTTCTTATCTTCACTTGCTCGGTCTAAAGACTGGTCTGGAGTGGAGAGTAGAGGCCGAAAGATCGTACAATTGCTGCCCTGTCGATTGCCTGATCCCATGCCGTCTTCCAGCTCCCGAGTCTGCATTCAGCATCAAATAACAAAGACGTGTAGTGAAAAGGAATGTAAACATCTCTGGGGTCCCTCTTATCTGATGCCGTTGTGCACACACAAGAGCAGGTTGACAATGTGTTATTGGCACAACGGTGGAGGCTTCACAGGGGCAAATGGCAGACCTCCGGGCTCCGGCTCTCAGCTCCAAAGTTCTAATCAGACAATGAGAGCGAAGTGAGAAGCTTTCCGCTCAACCAGTCAAACGTTCAACTCCTTGCATAGGTCTGATCATGGCTGGTTCTGACTATAGCAAACCTGCGCTCAGAGGCCGCTTCCATTGCCGGTCTCCTTGTGAAAAGAAGTTGCCTGGCTGTCTGTGGCTTCCACACATTCCGAGTCGCTCTCCCGGAACGAGTACGCAAGTCAGAGGGAAGTCATCATGCATACTTGTCACTTGGCCAATGGAACCAGCATACCAGCCAGGCACTGATGGCAGGAAAGGTAGCTGCTTTGTGCATGAATGGAACAATAAAGTTTTATTGAAACGGTGAGATTATTGGCGTGTGCGGCCGGTCTTTTGCATACTGACATTTTCAGGAGGAGAGGGAACAGGAGGCAGCGGGGGCGCCTCAGCACAAGTTTGCTATAAAGATACAAATACTGAAATTGTTTCATTTTTTGTGCTTTAGAATTAAACTGCGACTCAACAATGTGACTGGGTATGGTCACCGGGGCTTATTTTATGGAGGACTCCACCTTCAGATAACCTCATGTCACCATTCTCCACCTTCAGATGATCACAAGTCACCATTCTCCACCGCCAGATGATCACAAGTCACCATTCTCCACCGTCAGATGACCACAAGTCACCATTCTCCACCGCAAGATGACCACAAGTCACCATTCTCCACCGCCAGATGACCACAAGTTGCCTTTCTCCACCGCCAGATGACCACAAGTCACCATTCTCCACCTTCAGATGATCACAAGTCACCATTCTCCACCGCCAGATGACCACAAGTCACCATTCTCCACCGCCAGATGACCACAAGTCACCATTCTCCACCGCCAGATGACCACAAGTTGCCTTTCTCCACCGCCAGATGACCACAAGTCACCATTCTCCACCTTCAGATGATCACAAGTCACCATTCTCCACCGCCAGATGACCACAAGTCACCATTCTCCACCGCCAGATGACCACAAGTCACCATTCTCCACCGCCAGATGACCACAAGTTGCCTTTCTCCACCGCCAGATGACCACAAGTCACCATTCTCCACCTTCAGATGATCACAAGTCACCATTCTCCACCGCCAGATGACCACAAGTCACCATTCTCCACCGCCAGATGACCACAAGTCACCATTCTCCACCGCCAGATGACCACAAGTTGCCTTTCTCCACCGCCAGATGACCACAAGTCACCATTCTCCACCTTCAGATGATCACAAGTCACCATTCTCCACCGCCAGATGACCACAAGTCACCATTCTCCACCGCCAGATGACCACAAGTCACCATTCTCCACCGCCAGATGACCACAAGTTGCCTTTCTCCACCGCCAGATGACCACAAGTTGCCTTTCTCCACCGCCAGATGACCACAAGTCACCATTCTCCACCGCCAGATGACCACAAGGCACCATTCTCCACCGCCAGATGACCACAAGGCACCATTCTCCACCGCCAGATGACCACAAGGCACCATTCTCCACCGCCAGATGACCACAAGTCACCATTCTCCACCTTCAGATGACAACAAGTCCCCATTTAACACATGCACAGATGTATGTCTTTTGCTGAGCGCTTTGGGTAGGACCGCACCCCTGGAATAGATCTGCTCCTTATCCGAGGACTGCTCCTGGCCGCTTATTCTGAAAGCATGTGTATTCTTTATCAGACCTTAGACATATGCACCCGGGACGCCATTTGTCTCCTACAACAAACATATGTCTTTAGCCTCGCCCTGTTATATTACTCGGCTCTGTCAAGCGCTCGACACTACTCAGATAACCCGATGATGAAGCTGATCTGCAGGCGATCAGCTAAAGACACAAATGTAATACATACAAGGCAGCTGCTTTACCTGCCAGAGGATTTGTATTTGTGTCCATCCGGTCCTACAATTTACACAGGTCTGCCCCATGCCTCGTCCAGCAGGGGAGGAGACTTGATCACTCTCTAACAGGGAGTTAAATAACAGGTCTTGACCTTTTCCCAGCCTGTGACTGGACGGCGAGAGGAGAAGCAGGAGACCGATGAGCTCACCTTTCTGTCACTCTCTCTCTCCTAGCAGCAAGTTTCTTGCACAACTGATTTGCTCCTTGTGCTGCTTTTCCTGTTGTCGCTATAGGCTTTGCAACAGGATGGATGAGTAGGTCTCATTTAGGTTTGCTTGCATTTAAAAAAAAATACATTTCACGTTGAAATTTAATCAGCTTATATCGGAAGCACCTAATAAAAAATGCACAGCAAGTGTTACAGGACAATCAGATATTGACATATGCAAGAAGTGTCGGAGTGTGTTCCTGCATGTGGGGGCCCGTACAGTCCTACATGTAATGCACCATGTTATCTGAAGGCGGAATTCCCCCCAGTTATAGAGGGACGATGACAGCTTGCTGCAGAGGCAGCCGGGTAATAATATAAGGAGTGATCACAAATTCCAATTCCGTGATCTTTCGTTAGTGAAAGTGATTAATGATTTTTGATTAGTGTGCAATTTCTTGTTATGACCACAGGGGGCAGTGTACAAAAAAAACAGCCGCCTGCTTGCATCACCCCAGCTTAGTGTACAACGGCAGAATGAAAAGTGTTAGGCCCCCCGAGAATTGAGGGGTTCAGTATGCTTGTGATCAGCATCGGACGTCTTGATATAACGGCGACTCACCTCCTAAAGCTCACCAGCAGCACCACCGTTACAAGGAAGCCGCCACCAGTTGCCTCCAAGTTTTGATGAGATCGCCAGCTCATTGGCCTGTAGTGTATCATAGTTGTAACAGCTCTGACCAATGAGAAAATGTAATGGTAATGCTTTGTTCACTTGTCGAGTTCTGTAAAGATTTGTTCCTTTTGACCAAGCGGGACCCGCTGAAAACAACAGCACGAGCACCCCCATAGGCAGTGGCTTGTTCCCCTCAGGCAATAATATATAAATGTATATAAACGTCTTCACAGGAATATTTGGAATCTTTGCTAGGCTGGTTGACATTCAATGGCCACGCTGTGTCCAGTCATTAATGAGGTTCTCCAAGCAGACAGAATGGAAAAAACGGTTAGAAGCCCCGTCAGGAATTTTTTTTTTTGTCCCCTTTGGGGACATTTATCTCGACTTCCTGCACTTGCGATCACGTGTGACCACTGTCAGCAGAACAGGAAGTTAAGGGTAATCCAATTCTCACAGGAACAGAAAATAAGGGAATCTCTCCCAATGGGGGGTCATATGTTCTGGTGTCAGCTATCGAAGGTGGGATCGTCCACTCACTTCCTGTTGCTTCTCCAGGACAGGAAGTGACAAAAAGTCAGACCAAAAATAAAGAAAATACATGTTCTTCACGCGACCAAAAACTAGAAAAAGGTTTTGGCTGTAGGTCCATTTTAACATAAATGTCCACTTCCATGCTTTGAAAAGAGCGCACTTCCACCTGTCGGGGGGCCTATTTAGCGTCAGGTTGGTTGTCCAGGACAACGCTGCCTAGAAATCAGCCAAGATGGTGGCCACCTCTTGATATTGTGGGTCTAACGATGCACTTTATCTGAAAATGTGGCGTGCCATCGTGCTCCTTGGTGGCTCCCATGCTGTTAGATATCAGCCAGTCAATCTGTGCAGTAGGCATCTATATTTACTTCTATTGGCCGGTGACATCATCATGGGGCTGGCCCAGTTGTTGGGTCTGTGGGGTTCTTGACTACAAGCCACATGTTTGCACCATATCCACCACAGACTGGAAGATCAGGAAAGGTAAAGGGGAACCTCTCTTGAAGGAAGTAGGATGGATATGGTCACAGCGCCTGCCAACAGTACATGGGATAGTTTGTGTGGAGACCGTCTTTGGAGAAGTCCTTCTCTCTGCCAATGGAAGAATCAGTAAAATGGCATCCAATCCGTTCCGAGGTTTCACCTGTATACGAGAGAAACGTCGGCTCTGTGTTCATCTGCTGCCCATACGGTCTCCATGAATTATTCCGTAGCACACATATATAATCATGTAACAGGTTCTGCTGGTTAGAAACCTATAAAATCAGATGCATGATGGTCTGGAAAGGATGAGTAACATGAATCTAATAATAGGAACTTGAAATCATCTTCTGCCCTTCGCTGGTCACTTTTCCTGTCCTTTCTGCTTGGCCAAAGTCTTCTTCAGTTCTTTGAGGTTCTCCGTTAGGACCTCCACTTCGTCCATCCGTCCGCTGTGCTTGGCATCAAATATGTAGGCCTTGATATTGTCGATTTGCTGCAGCAGTAGGTCTTCTTCTATCACCTCCTCTTTGCTCGGTTCCAGATCGTCAGGCTCCTCGAACGGGTTCCCCGGACAAGCGCCGTCATCTTCCTCAAAAGGATTTCTTGAGGCCGGAGCTTCAGAGGAATGGTCAGGAGAGTCCTCAAAAGGATTGGTGGAGGCCACAGTTTTCTCGGCTTGTTCCGCTGGCTTTTCCTCATCATCCTCGTCAAACGGGTTATATTCTCTGGTGCCGTTCTGCTGAATAAGGTGCGAGGAGGAGGAAGCAGGCACTGGTTCATGGTGATCTTCCTCAAAGGGGTTTAGAAGAGCAGGTTTGGTCTCCTCCACTCTCGGCAGAACGGGGGAAATACGGAAGTTAGGAACAATTTCTAAATGCCTTTGATAAAATGCTGGAGAGGTCTTTACAGGGCTAGCGTCTCGTTCCGGGAGCTGAAGATCCAGGGCCACCGTTTGCTTGTCCTGCCACCTGATGGGCTGGATCTGCTCTCGGAAATCCAGCGAGTGAGTCCTGTTGTGCTGGGTCAGCCCCTTGCGCAGCTCGCGGCTTTCCTCCCTTTCCCTCAGCACCTCCAGCTGCTCGTTCTGCATGGCCTCCTCTTCTGCCAGCTCCTTGGACATCTGGATGGCTCTCTCCACCTGCTGCTGGTCATATTCATCCTGCAGATACCTCAGGTTGTCCTCCAGCATATGCACCTCGTCCATTCTCCCAGCTTCATGGGCCTGCCGGATGTAGGAGGTGATGTTCTCGATCTGCTGCAGAAGAGGGTCTGAGGTCTGTCGATTGCGAGGAGCACCCGACGTAGGTAGCCACCCCTCCACCTTTCGAATACGACCCCTCTGCTGCAGCTCCCCGTTTACTTTGTCTGTGGGGCGAGATAAGCCGTCTCTCCTCCTCTCATCAACCTTCTTCTGGGCATCAAGAGCAGCCTGGTGGAAAAGAGACCAAAGACAAGTTAAGGGAAGAGATACCCGACATCCTAATGGTACAGTAATCCCTTAAAAGAGACCTGAACTCAAAATGTGAGGATTTGCTACCCCAAGGGGAGCGGCTTGAAATAATAATTGTGCTCAAGCAGTACCCTGAAGATCTTTTCTCTTGAATATCTCCAGAAAAGTAGCAGTACACTTCCTGTGTCTAAGCACCTCCATGCCTAAAGCCTCATAGCAGTATATCTGTAGTGTGAGATCATCTAAAGCAGGGGTAGCCAACCAGTGGTCCTCCAGCTGTGGTGAAACTACAAATCCCATGATGCATCTCTCTCCGGGAGTCATGTCTGTGGCTGTGAGAATGTTGCAATGCCTCATGGGGTTTGTAGTTCCACCACAGCTGGAGGATCACTGGTTGGCTACCCCTGATCTAAAGTACTGCTGCATCTGACTGCTAGTCTCACCAGCTTTGCAGTGAGATTTGGTGAGGTCACTACTGTACTGCTCACTGTTCTCCTTGCTGGAGGGGAAGCTGTACCCGAGGGCCTGCAGTGAAAAGATCTCCCTGCATTTCCTTGATCCGTTCTTGGGTTCTGTGAGGTGCTTCCTCCACCTCTCAGGCTGCTTCCTGAATATTCCCCCAGCAGTCATCAGATCACCAGACATTGGGGTGAGGGGGTAGTTGACATGAGGAAAAAAAGCCGTTCCTCTACCAAGATGGCCACCTCCACACAGAGACACCACGCAGAGTAAGGCATGGTAAGCCAGTAATAGAAAAAGATCAACTGCAGAGAGAGCGCAAGACAATCGGGGTGTTTGCATATAGCTGGAGTCCATCCAGAAATGAGTATTTGCTTAGGGCAGCAATATCATGTTTCTGCCATTTAAAGGACATTTCAGCGATTCAAAAGAAAAATTGCCATTATCGCTGCTGTATATCCCAGCAAGCGTAACATGAAGATTAAAAGATGAACTCCAGCCTGATCCCC